CCATTAGAGGCAAATAGTTATACTATGGGAATTAACATTTAAACAAAAGCAGCAGAACAGCCTTGAGATTTTTTTTTAACTGAGAACTAGCTTCCACATCTTATCTGAAATAACGCAGGTTGTGGCAAAACTTGGAGTCCCCTCTAGGAGAAAGTCAAATTTCCCCCATTCATCTACTTTCTTTGTTAACATATGACACTTAATATAATTTTTTAAGAATCCTAGGAAAATACCAAGAATGCTCCAAGTATGCTTTCCAAACAGGTAAGCCTAAAAATAACAGAATAGTGAACATTCATCCACAATTCTACAACTCTTGCAACGTCGAGTGAAACTCCAAATATACAGTGGTGCTTAACCAGAAGCTATTTGAGTCAAGTGTGCACTTAAAATAGATCCATTATCCTTGTTCTGATATTTTTATCCAATAGAATTCAGTCTCAGGCCTAGAATAAGAACTAAATTTAAGAATATAGACAAATGTGATTTTTGGAGAACAGACAAGATCACATCTTCTAAACCCCAACAGATGAATGGGAAAGAGAAATTAGTCTTCCCCTCAATGCAGAGTGCATTAAGTTCAATATTCACAATTTTTTGGCTTGCTGATAAGACAACCAGCGTACTTTGTTTAGGTTGAAAAAAGACCGCTAAGATCATCAAGTCCAACCTTTAACCCAGTACTGCCAAGTTCACCACTAAACTATATCTCTAAACACCACATCTAACATGCCTTGTAAACACCTCCAAGGTTGGTGACAACGGCTTCCCTAGGCAGCCTCTTCCAATGTTGGAGAATCCACTCAAATGAAGAAATTTTTCTTCAGATGCAGTCAACCTCCCCTGGTGCAACTTGAGGCCATATCTATCTTGTCCTGTCTCTTGTTACCTGGAGAAGAGGCTGACCCCCGCTTTGCTACAGCCTCCTTTCAGGTAGTTGTAGAGAGTCTTAAGGTCATCCCCAAGCCTCTTCTTTGCCAAGTTAAATAACCCTAGTTTCCCCAGCCTCATAAGATTATATTTGTACTCATAGTGCTTGTCAATAAACAGTTCAGCCCAAAACCAGACACAAAGCATTTCCTGACCAGCTGCTTAAGTCAATGAGTTCTAGTAATTTAAATCAATTACTGATCACTACAGTAGATAAATAAAATAAATTATTTAAACCAGTTAAAGGTAGGTTTGTGTCAGTAAGCATGAAAATGACTTGAGGTCACTTATGATTTTTAACTGCAGGAAAACCACCAAATCAGGCTCAACTTGGCACCATTTTCAGTTAATAAGTTAATTTATTAGTAAGTTAATTACTAGTCAAAAGAGGGTCTGACTACAGAAACATAAGGGGTATGAAATGGAACTTTATGCATTCCATGCTTTATGGGTCAAGTCTTGCTGGTTAATCAAAAGGTGACTTACCCGCCCCAGTCCCTCCAAATACGCAATATGCACATGCACTTGTAAATAAGTTCTTTATTTATAACAATACGTTAGCTTAAAAGTGCACCGATACAATAGGGCTTTGCTCAGCAATACAAATTATTTGTCTCTCTTCATATATACATACACACATGCATGCACTGAAAGGCTGATGGATTCAGTTATGTGGACAAGCATCCAAACCTCATGAATGGACTACTTTCAAACTTCTCTCTGTCCAAAAACTACAGATGAGCAAACTATGCTCCACCCATATTTTGTTTACAGGAGAATTTGATGGTATATGATACCATCTCATTTTGTAGTACAGATGGGCGTTTCATAGATGAGAAGCCTGATGCCTCCACACATGTTCTCAAGTCTTTTTACTAATCAGGGCAAATGTAGCTAAATTGCATTCATTACTATCTGTCCTACTACATTAAGCCCTTGGTTTACTAAAAGCTCAAGCTAATATGCTGGGTTGGCTTTTTTTGTTGTTTGTATTTTTTAAACTACCTTGCCTGATGCTCTCCATCACCCTTTTATGGCAATCATTTCCTGCTAAAACTAAAGCCAAATCATAAATGTTTATACACTCGAAACCTCAAAGGGAGATTTTGGCAAGGCCAAAGTGTTATCCAGAACTCTTGCTACCAGATGCTCCTGGAAGGATGTTACCTCCTCTGGCAAAAATCTTGTAGAAGTTTTTTCCCTTTTTCAACACCAACTCAAAGATATAATCTACGGGCAGACTTTGCCATACAATTAAGCTAGATATAATGTTATGTACTTTCAGGGGAGTATCAAGTGTCTCTACAAAGATGTAACTAGGACTGTAAAGGTAAAAAGTAATAGTAACAAGGAGACAGCAAAGAAAAACTTTATAAGAAACTAAAGAAGAAACTTTATTGCTGTATTACAGTGCTTTGCTGCTTCTGCTTAAGGAACTGCCACGCACAAATGCTAATTTATTTTTTTCATGATGTCATTATTTTTAAAGACACAAACACTTCTACTCTTAAAACAGACAAACCCCCCTTTCATAACTAAATATAA